ACATAGTAAGTTCATTCTGCGTAGATCGGACCAAAATTAATAATTAAAAAAGCTGAAGGTACTCCGGGTTAACTCTGACATCGGGACGTCAATCACCTCAGTGTCCTGTGACCATGGGTACTGTAAAGTACCCGAAACGTCGGGAATTAATAAAAATAAGTTAATTATACGCGTTAAAATCTATAAAAGTAGTTTTATTCAATGTGTAGTCTTCGGGTAAATATAAGAAATCATTATGTTTATTCAAAAATTTTTTTTGATTACATCCAAGAAATGTCTTGATTACATCAAACACTGCTTTTTTAAATTTTAAGATTTATTTCTTTAAGACATTTTGGAATTTTTAATATACTTAACGATACATATATAATAATTTATATACTAAAATATACATAGTAACCTATACATTTAAATAAACTTGAAACGTCTGTTATTATAACATAATAACTGTCTTTTATTAAGCTGAGATGGTTGATTGTATGCTTAGTAACCGTTATTTTATTTTTTGTCTATGTGTCTGTCTGTTTGTCTGTAAAAGGTCTTTGATGATTATCTTAAATCTATATAACGGCTCATGAATAGATTCCATCCAGGGTAAGCCGAGGTAGGTTGCTAGTTTTAAAATAAAATTGTTTTTAATCAGAATCAGTCATGTTATTTGGCAGAAATCCATTCTGACGAGGCAATTTCATGAATTGCTCTCTTTTCGTTCCGTCCTTGGACCGCCAGACGCTTGGCTGGAGATAATCTCTTCGTTATCGATATACTACGCATTCGAATCAAACGGATTACTTTGTAGTTCATTATACGTACTGCTAAGGTGTGAAATTTGCCAGCATCTACCTGTCCATTCGATATTATGTCTTCAAGGCAAGAGTGAATAGGCTTTTGATAAGCTAAGAAGATGGTATAGCGCACTGCGCTATACCATCTTCAGATACATCAAAAGTTACCATTAAGTGGAATGTTCAAGAAAAGAGCGTACTCCTTTTTAAAAGGCCGGCAACGCATCTGCAATTCCCTCCCTGGTGTTGCAGTTGTTCATGGGCGGCGGTAGTTACTTACCATCAGGTGAGCCGCATGCTCGTTTGCCCCCTCTCCAATAAAAAAAAAATGTAGGTCAAGCACTGGTTTATAATAGTCAAAAAGTAAATTAATAAAACAACAACGATAGATTCCTAGGATAGATTTGTTATTGCATAATAATAATTTGACAGGCCTGTTGGTCTAGTGGTTAGTGACCCTGACTGCTATGCCGGAGGTCGTGGGTTCGATTCCCACCCAGGACAAATGTTTGTGTGATGAGCACGATCATTTGTTCTGTGTCTGGGTGTAATTTATCTATAATATTTATGTATTTAGAAATATATAAGTATGTTTATCAGTTGTCTAGTACCCATAACACAAGCTCTGCTTAGCTTGGGACTAGATGGCGTTGTTTGATAGTTGTGGAATATTATATTATTATTTTTTTTATTTTTTTATAAGCAAGCAAGGCAAAATGTGCATTACAGATTATAGGTCTTTGAAATATTAATCAGTAGCTATTGTTAATTTTTTGAGGTCCCTTGGCATCTCGGTGATTAAGTACCCGAAAAGAAAATAAATAAACAATATGCTTAACCCATTCATCCATTAAACCTTGTAGACTCTACTACTGATATTTCTTTTTCAGTTATTGATATGTTTATATAACCGATTTCTTGCGTAGCGTTAGTTTACGTTGACAGGCCTGTTGGTCTAGTGGTTAGTGACCCTGACTGCTATGCCGGAGGTCGTGGGTTCGATTCCCACCCAGGACAAATGTTTGTGTGATGAGCACGATCATTTGTTCTGTGTCTGGGTGTAATTTATCTATAATATTTATGTATTTAGAAATATATAAGTATGTTTATCAGTTGTCTAGTACCCATAACACAAGCTCTGCTTAGCTTGGGACTAGATGGCGTTGTGTGATAGTTGTGGAATATGTGGAATATTACGTTAGTTACGTTAATCTCCAACAGAATTAAGACCTGATCGGGCATTGAGGTAGATCATTTTTGCGCAAACTGTGACTACCTTTTTTATTATTTAATATAATATCTGCAGCAGTCTTATCTTCTTTTTTTTGGATAGATTCTGCAACTACATGCAATTTATCATGCGTGTGTTTAAAAACACCGTCTTTTTGGTTCGTATTTCTTTTGATTCTTTAAACAATTATACTCAAAAGACAATTTACGCTACCTGGACGAAGCCGGACTTGCAATTACTTGCTTCTTTGGGGCTTTTCTGATAAATATAATCGCAAACGAAGATAGATATAGATGTCTATGGGCCACAGCAACCACTTACCATCAGGTGGACTGTGTGCTCGTTTTCACCCTTGTTTTATATACATAAAAAACAGTTTTCATCTCTACATAGTACAAAGTCACTTTCTGCCGTCTCTATACTTAGATCTTTTAATTACGCAACGGATTTTGATGCGGTTTACATTATCATACACAATGATTTAAAAAAAAATGTTTATATCTATGATACACGCATATTATATATTATTATATAATTCTTCTGACCGTGTGAATGTCCCGTCTAAACGGCTGGACCGATTTTGATGAAATTTGATGTGATTTGAGATTTGATGTGTGTATGTGATTAAGTTGATAAGAAAATGACTTAGACAATTGGACCCGGTAGGTAGCGTTGTTGTCGAGATCCAGAAATCAACGTTGCGAAGCCGGGGCGGATCGTTAGTATTTAAATAATCTAACTAAATCGTTGAACTAAAATATATTGTATATAAACTACGGCAAAAAACAAGTCGTAACTCTTTCACAAAAAAGCGTGCGTGGGTCGCCTGAAGGGGCCATCGAGAATCTATGCATCATAAGTTTACTAACCTGTTGTAAGTATAGGCAAGAACAACTAGAAAATTATTTTGAAGGACAAATTATTTGCAAATTATTAATATGTCTGAAAATTTAATTCTTTGTTTACAAAGACTTCTTATGTATGCTACTAAAAACTTTGTTTAAGTATGGAAATATCGTAACTAAGTTTACGATGAAAACTACTTTAATACGATTACAATATTGGCAGGCATAGGCAACTATGTGTAACTAAATATACTTTTTTATTATCGTCAGTTGAAGCTACCTTACAATATTTTCACTGACTAAAATCATAACGCAAATAAATTGAGATGATGGGGTGAGCGCAAATAAAAAGGACATTCCTCTTTTTAATAAAAATCTATACAATTGTATATCACAGATGTATTCTATAATTATTACTAAAATATTATTAAAATATTTTGTTGCATAATAATTATAATATCTGTAAAAGCGTAACATTAGCCCCCGTAAACGAATTACTTACTATTTGAAGTTGCGTCACTGGTATTGCAAGCATTTGTTTGTTCTTAATATTTACGAAATGAGTTTTGATAAAACAATTTTTATTTTTGTATTCATACATCAAATTTAAAGAACAATCTAAAAGTACAAAGTTATTACAGTATAATTTATTTATTAGTGTTCTTTTTTATTTAGGTTGTTAATTGCTCTTACTATCTTATGCAAAACAAAGATAATGACAATGTTAGTCGCATTACATCGTAGAGAATATCAATACAACTTATGTTATGGAAATAACTAAAATAAACAAATATAGCTGTAGAAGTAAGGCTTCAATTATTTTTATAGTATATGCTAAAATTACATAAACAGACCCCATTGCAACTTAGCGTTCAGAGTGATTAATCAGATCAGATCATATTTTACGTTTAGCTCAAACGAGATGGTTACATCGCCATATTATGGAAGACATCAAAGTCTCTCCTATGACACCCACGGGATGAAACGGTGTGCTGGATTATCTTTATCGCCACCAAACAGCACTCTGGCCCTCAGGCTCTTTTTACTGGAAATGAGGCATTCCATCTTAGTCCTCACGGGTGACAACGCATCTACATTTTGATTTGTAATAGAGGATAGATGTAGATGTCTATGGGCCGCAGCAACCACTTACCATTAGGTGGACTGTGTGCTCGTTTGTTACCCTTATCCTATAAAAAAAAACTCTCGAAAATCAGGAAACCACGATATGTAATAATGGAACAAATAATTACTTTTTTATATTTCTCTATTAGAACTTACGATTCCGCTTTTGTTCGTCATTTAAGCATTGGACATATAAAATTTGAATCGGATTAGTACTCACAGAAACGACCGTAAAATAAAATGTCGTAACCAAGGAAGCATTTGCACGAATCATTAACTATAAGTATAGATTTATATCGTATTTGATATACAGTAGAATTATGTAAATTAATTACCTATCTAATTTTAATTAAATTAGTTTCATTTTTATTATAATTATTTTGCCATCCTGATGTTTGTTTGGAAAATATTACTTGTACGGCTTCGTCGTGAGTACTATATTATAAAAAGTAAAGTTAAGTTACAGCCTATATATGTCACACTGCTGGGCACAGGCCTCCCCTCATTTCTCAGAGGGTTTCAGGGCAAGGAAGTGTCCGCCGCGCTGCCCCAATGCGTGTTGGCGAAATTCACATGTCTTCGAAATATATTTTTTTCTTATTTCTCAGACATGCAGCCGTGAGTGCCGTGGTAGCTCAGATGGTTAACGCTCGCTGTAAATTTCAAAGTACACGAGCAAACCGGGTTTGCCGTCAATATCACCTCATATCCCCGCCTGCACCAATAAAATTGTTAATTGCAATTTTAAGTGCTAATTTACGGCGGTGAAGGAAAAAATCGTGAGGAAACCTGCATGTCTGAGAAATAATATGTTATAAATATATGGAAAATACAATGCTAACCTATACTACACTCTGGCTACACCTGTCCCATTATTAGAACACTCACTGTTGTTTTCCGATTTAAAATTGTTTAAAACTGAAGCAGTAATATGTAGTGTTAGTGGTATCTTCCGCATCATTAGCAGTATAAAGTGCCTAAGACTGCCTATCTAAAACTATCGCCTTGTTCCAGGATCATTACTGCAACTGCCTGGAATCGTGCACGTGGATCGCAACTGGTTCGCGTCATCCACCGACCCCATAGGCACCGTGGTGACGCGAGTACAACGGGAGATCACTGGGAATGAGAGCGTGCGGTTTGGTCTGGAGACTAGCGGGCCGCCTGCTCCTTTTAAAATCGACTCACAAACTGGAGTCGTTACTGTTAATGACACGCTTCTTGATAAGGTATGGAATTTTGTGCTTTTGACGAGTAATTTACTGTATCGTTAAACTGGGTATTATCTACTTATGATTTTCACACCGGCAATTACCAAATCTATCCTACCAGTAAAAGTAGAAAATTACTTAAAAAGATATAGTGTAGTGTCATAGTAGTCATATACTCACTCTGTTTTCAAGAAAATCAAAGTAATATTTCTAAATGAACTCAGACACAAACACAAAACATCCCAATTTGAACCGCAGTAAAAATCAGAAATGAATTCAAACATAATATGCAACACGACTGGGTTTGAAGTATGATTTTGAAATCAACCACTTCAAAAACACAATTATTGATGTGATTAAAAGTATGTGAGTGAGTGAGTGAGTGAGTTGAGTTTGAATTTTGAAAAGACTATATTAGGAATATATGCTTCTTCATGCTGTAACGACTTAATGGATTAAAGTAAAATTTGAAATTTTACTTTAATCCATTTACCTTTTATACCGTAATAATTGGCTGTTCCTGTGTGATTATCAAAATCATCACAATGTGACTGTCTAGCATTTAATGATGAGGTTTTTTCTTACCTGTTACCATAAACCAATCTCAATCCAGGAAAAAAAGATCCTATAGGATTGGATAGCATTATCATTTAACTCTATAACGGCTTAATGTTTGTCTGCATAAAATTAGATGTAGTTATAAAGTCTAAGGCTCTAAGGCTAAACTACCGCGTTCAATTTTCTTATCCTTTTGCGTGGTCTAAGGTATAGCACAAGTTCAAGGCAACAACTGAATAAAGTCTAAATAAAAAATCAACTGTATCACTTCATCCTACGACATACTCTTGTTAATCGCAATTACTGCATTTTTCCTATTTTTAATAATTTTCTTAAAGAATTGTAGTCTGTTTTTAAAGAAGCATTTAAGAATAAGAGAGTAAATTTTGAACTGTAACAATTATAACGTCTATATATAAAAAATAATTTCTGTCCGTTAGTCTCGCTAAACCTATTTTGATGAAACTTTATGTGTGTGTTTGATTTGGTCTCTAAATGGTTTATATTCACGACTTGATCCGTTAGGTGGCACTGTTGTCGAGGTTCAGAAATCATCCGTGCGAAGTCATGGCGGATCGGTAGTATTGAATAAAAGTAATTTTACTAATGATGCCAATTATAATAGCTTGCCTGTCACCTACGTAGGGCATTTAATTTTTAGGGTTCCGTACAAAATTACGGGACTCCATAACTAAACCTACCATGTATGTAGCTGATTGAAATTTTTACAAAATATTTATTATTCCACTAAACCAATTCCAAAAAAAAATTCCAAAAAACACCAATAAACATCACTCAAGAATTTTTTTCAACCTTTTTTTTTGTTTTAGCTCTACCGCAAAAACGGTAATACATACATGCAATAATCCAACTATGGTGTGATTATAGTCCAAGCTCTAAAGTATAACAATAATAAAATTTGGCCAACTGCGAGTTGGACTCAAGCTAAGCGTTGCAAAGTGTGTTGGTACAGAACACTTAAAGCGTGAGTCCGACTCGCACTCGATCAGGTTTTTAGTTAAAGAACATCGGTCTCGGCCCATACATGCTATGACCTGACTATAAAATATCGCAAACCAAATCCATTCGCCCTGGGCACAAACTTAATCCTAAATTGAAAACAAATTACTTAAAAGCAGAGGATCATAAAACGTTACTCTTATGTATTTCGTCACTTTTGAGGTTATGGTATAGCCATAGCTGCAGCCATATCTACAACCTCAGCTAAAACAATTGATATGAAAACTATGCAGTAATAAGTATATACATAACTAAATAAGTCAAGGCAATGACTAAAACCACAAAAATTAATCGATAACCTTTCTAATATTTTCACTGCTCTAAGACACAGGTGCTTTGACTTTTGCTCACGCTTTGACAGCTCTCGTATCATAATACCACAGAATGCATAGAGACACTCATAATACGTTCCGTTCTAAGTATTAGTGCATTATATATTTACTGTCAACCTATCATTTGCAACTTATTTCGAAATACTTTCGGAATAATACACTACAAAAATAAATCAAAAATCTACAATAAAATCTAGTATTTAAAAAACGTAAACGCACAATGGTAGTGTTACTTTAGTGTAATGAAGAAACGAGTACCACAGATAAAAACGGGATGGGTTTAGATGCGTTCAAAACCTATAAAAAGTAGTTAGAAAATGAGGTTTTTCATTACAAAGCTAAGTTATTTTACCCGTTCCAATAAAATAAGTTGGACCCCGTAATTTAATATACACATAGGTCACTATTTTTTGTATCAATCATTGGTGGTCGTTTCATATTTTGGTCAGGTCGTATTTGACCGATGTTCTTTAACTATCAAAACATGGATGAAACCACGGGGCTCAGCAAATTATTTATATAGTATACATTATTTTGAAATTTTAAGAAAATATAAGAAATTAAACGAATTATTACATCTACTTGATATTTAATACTAATTGTTCTTTTTCTTTTTTCTTTTTTTTTATAGCATAATATATAATATATAGGGTGACAAACGAGCATACAGTCCACCTGATGGTAAGTGGTTGCTGTGGCCCATAGACATCTACATGTATCCTCGTTTGTGAATCAAAATGCAGATGCGTTGTCACCCGCGAGGACTAAGATGGATTGCCTCTTTTCCAGTAAAAAGGGTCTCCGGTTCTCTACACTCACCATACGAAACACAGCAGTTGTTTGTTCTTTATTAATTGAATAATATATATATATATATATAATTCAATTTATTTGACTTATTTAGTTATGTATATATATATATATATATATATATATATATATATATATATATCATATAATCTAGCCTATATATCAATAACTTTTTTTATTTTTCTAGGAAAACCAATCCTATTCATTATGGGTGACAGCTGACGACGGCTCAATACCACAACGATTAGAAGTCCTCGCCACAATAACCGACAGCTCTGGCCAAAGACCAAAATTACCTCGTCCACCGCCATTCGGCCTATCAAATTATCCAAACATACCTGACTTATCTCATATACCGCATATACCAAAGTTCACGAGACCAACGCAAAGAACAACCAAAGAAACAGTCGGCTATATTGAGGAAATAACAGTACCTGAAACTACACCTCTTGCAACTTTCAAACCTAAAATACCAGATAATAATCTACCAGATAAAACTGGCAACGAGGAAATTAAAAATAATACATCAATAGAAGAGACACAGATCGGAAGCGACGTGTCACTGACTGTCATACCTTTGGTTGCGATTGGTGGCTTGGTTGTTATCGTGGCAGCTGTCATTATTTTTGTTTGTAAAAAGAACAACTCCAAGGGATCAAAAAGCAAAAAGGATGATATGGTGAGTCAGACAGCATTATGTTAACTTTTAACTTTGTTTTTTTTTTTTTAAATCAAACAACTCGAATTATACAAGTAAATGTAATTGAATAGTAAAGTGTGGTTAGATTACAATTGAATATTAATAACGTTATTTGTTTTCCATTTCTTAATCTATACATATTATAAATCTGTAAAAAAATCGTGTCTATAATTCTAATATATTTATGAAAAACCAAGTTCATGGGACAAAATAAAGGGTAAAAAAAACACTCACGGCTGTCACCCAGAGGGGTAGGCAGAGACTATGGACTTCCATTTGGCACGATCCTGACACACCTCTCTCGCTTCTTCCAAAGGGTATTGAAGCCAAATTAGTGTTATTTAGATTTAATGTCTGTCTGTCTGTGTATTCCCGTTCACGCAAAAACTACTGCACCGATTTCCATTAATTTTTATATGTAACACGGGGCAACTTATAGCTCATTTTTATCCGATTACGGAACTTAAATTAGAGGTTAAGTATTTTCTTCCTTTAGATATTAATGTTCTATTATAATATATGATTATTTTAGTTAATAGGCGGGATGACGGGTATTTTTTGAAATAAATATCATATTTGTAAATAAAGTTTAAAATTAGTTTTAACCTTTGCGTAAGAATTTGAAACTCCGCTGACGATATACGTTTTAATTTTCAAAACAACACCATCTATCATCAAATGAAAAAAGCCTATATTTTGCCTTTAGTAACTAATAAATTAAATAATACAAATAACTTTATATTTATAAAGTAAAGTAAAGTAAAGTTGCAGCCTATTTACGTCCCACTGCTGGGCACAGGCCTCCTCTCATTTCTGAGAGGGTTTTTTAGGACAAGGAAATGTCCGCCGCGCTGCCCCAATGCGTGTTGGCGAACTTCACATGTTTTCGAAATATTTTTTTTAATCTCTCAGACATGCAGGTTTCCTCACGATGTTTTCCTTCACCGCCGAGCACGTGGTAAAGCAGCACTTAAAATTGCAATTAACAATTTCATTGGTGCCGGCCGGGGATCGAACCCGGGTTGCTCGAGTACTGTGAAGCTTACAGTGAGCGCTAACCATCTGAGCTACCACGGCTCCTTACATTTATATGTTTAAATAATTAGATTTATAAAATTATTTAAAAATCCTAACGTTTAATTTTTTAGTTTTTTTTTTGTTATTTCATTTTAAAAGTGTAATAAATAAAGCAGATAATAATGACATCTATCAAACGTATGAAAATTTAGATTTTTTGAACTAAAAACAAATCATTTTTCATATGTTTGATTAAGCTACATATTTAAATCTCTCTGGTTTGATACTACTGGCGTATAAACTCATTAAAACTGGGCTCTCATTAAGTCATTAATTCATGAAGTGGTGTCATTTTATGATATTAATTTTATTAATTATGGGATCCCAAGTAGATTGTAGCACCCAGTCATATTCTCTATTGAAACTACGATGTTTTTAATTTCAATGCCTCGCGATTCATCCTTGGAAGGAATCGGTGTTCTGTTGCGAGGATTTGTTGTCTATCAGATCTGATATAATGGTTGGGACGATACTGAACATGTTGACATAATATGTACTTCAGACTTCCGGGAGCGTCGGTGTTTCACATCAGCAATACGCAAATTTTTATGGAACTTTCTTCCAAAAATGTGTACAAAAACCCGCATAAATAGAAATTAAAATGTAACGTGATTTATTAAAACTTGTATTATTACATGTATAGTATTCATTATTATGGAACTACATTTATGAAATTTTGAAGTTTACTCGACCGTAGAAAAAATATCAGAATCTATTTTATGGTGCCAATCAATATCAAATGGGACCAATGATATGAATCAAATATCGTATATAAGACCATGAAATCATCATTATTTTGTTAAAACTAAATTAATTTTAATTATGAATAAATGTAAAGAATAAATAATAATAATAAAATTTAATTCCAAAACACTTTATCTTTCTTATGGATACATCGGAAGACACGTCCAATATAAAAAAAATTGCAGATGTTTCTAGACATATGATATTAATGCAATTCTGAAAAACTTGCTTATTCACGTGTTCCTGTAGCATATTATATATATGCCAAATATCAATCATCTAGGTCCAATAGTGTTTGGGAATTCAAAAAGGTTCTTCGAAAAACTAATATAGAGACACCGACACAGAAGTGACTTAAAGTGATTGAATTTTGTTAAATTTAGCACGGAATAGCATCTAATGATGTTTCCAATTTGAAGACCACGCGAGCGAAGCCGCGGGTATAAAGCTAGTAAAGGAATAAGGTGACAATTGATACTGTTAACATGGATTCTGTTTCGTAGTTTTTAGTCTAGATTTAGAAATTACGTGCAAAATGTGAGACTATTCAGTAAAGTAGTTAAGCTCCGTCTTGTCGTTAAATTGTCGTGAGTCATGAACGGCACTTATAGTTTTTACGACGTCATATTTTTATTTATGTTTGAATATTTGTCATCAAGATTCACAAGTTGTTAGATTTCATTTCAACTTTTTTTTTAAAACCATAGCAATTGATTTATACGGTATATAGTTACGCTAGAGAGCTAAGTACTCGTATATTATGGTTGTAGAAGAAACGTGTCGACTCGATCGGTGTAGGACCACGCTCTTACAGAATACCAGCTAATATAGCAACTTAATGTAGCTGTGTTTCGTAGAGAACCGGGGACCTTTTTTTACTGGAAACAAGGTATTCCATATTAGTCCTTAGGGGTGACTATGCTTCTTGCTTGATTCTTAATCAAGGATAAATGTAGATGTTTATGATCCATAGCATCCACTTAAAATCAGATGAACTGTGAGCTCATTTGTCAATGTAAAGATTTTTTATTTTAATTATTTGCTTTAAAAAGATGGCCATACCTATATCAATTAGTTTTAAATATGTTATTTTAAGTAAATGGGTTATATTATAAGCCTTGATTTTTAATTTTTATTTATAACTTATTTAACTTTGCTTTGCCGTTAGGCTACGTCAAACATGGGTGGTTAATAACAATTTTAACGACTGAAGATAACCTTTATATTTTAAGTAATAAAGTAATATGCTATTAATATTGTTACGTAGTCGGTGCCATACCATTAAAAATAATAATATATATTATAGTGAATGTTTTTGTAATATATTAAGAACCAAATACAACAGATGAGCGTAGACGGTATTCATTCTATATGTGTATTACTTAGGTCACATGATATTGTAAAAGACGGCCTTATTGTTCCGAAATAGAATAGAATATCTATCTCTGGATATTTTACCACTTGTGCGTTTGACGTACACCAAGTTTGCCGCCGCGAAACTCAGCAACAGAAACGACGGAATGATAGAGCGGGGTTAGCGTCACGTCATGATTAATCTATAGCAAACGTAAACGGCTTTTACAACTTTTTGGATTCGTTCCAACTTTATTAAAATAAAAATAATAACATCTACGTCGTTTTATCCAACGACTGATGTGAAAGATAGAAATCATCTAAAATTTTAAAGTTTCTTATTCATGCACATTATTCTATTAAAAAAAAAACACCATGCTGAAGTAATGATTGTTTAGAATAACAGAAGCCGTGTTGTCCACAGAGTAAAGACTCAAGTGGCATCGTGCTACAAGACGCGACAATCAACCTGTGGGACCGCCCACGTGCTTACTCTAACCGATACGAGTCCTGGGATAACGGTCATTTGCAGGTCAGTTTTTTGACCTCGTCTCATTTATTGCTTACCTTTTTAATTGATACTATATCCGCGACTCTAATCATGTAGACCTTAAATAAGAAAAAAAAAACTGCAGAGAATTGATGGTGGGCAAGTATTTCAACTATCGAAATACCACTTTAAGCTCAGGGAACATTTTTAAAAGGGAAGATCTATTAACTTCAAGTAAAAAAGAGATATCTTATGCTTCAATACTAATTAATAGATTTGTTGTAAAAAGGTGTTGAAGTACAAATAGATTTTGTATCAAAACTTTAAGAGATAGATATATGGTTGTGTGTAAAAATCAAAGTATTTTTTTATCAAATTATTTTATTTCTCTTTTAGTTAATTTATGAGATAACCATCAAAAACCTTTTAATATATTAGTTTTTCGATTTCACAAAAACGCTCCTGCATGTTTTTCGGATAAAATAAATAATAAATCACTCCTGTCATAACAAGTTCCATATAGGTTCAGCCATTCCGAAGCTCAGCTTGGACAGAGAGACAGACAAATAGACAAACAAACAAAAAAGAATAATTGATTGGACACACACCACAATATTAACAAGACAATGTAGGGTAAAAAAACTACTCAATGTATAATAATTAACACAATTTTATTTACTAGTTGTGATCCTATTTTAATTCCTCTCACATGATGTGTTGAAACGCATTCGGTAAACAGAGATCTCAGCTGCGGTAGCTACAGGCACAGTGCTGGTTTTCAGTAAGCCCGAAACAGAGTACCTATATAAGTCACTGAGCCCATGCGCCATACTCAAAAATACTCTGTGGTGATACTAAAATTTCCAGTTGTATTACTATGGTTATTCATGTCTTAATTACATGAAAATAACTCCCATAAGCTTGTTTTTTTTTTCGATAGAATTTTAGCAGCTAATTATGTCGATATTACAGACAGATATTTCAATTTAATTGTATGTGGTATTAGAAATAATGATTAAATTTTTCATTAAAAATGACGGCTTAGAATATATGTGATAAACGTGGACAGTTATTTCTATAAAATCCATTAGGCGGTTTTTAAAAAATATTATAAAAAGGGAATTCCATTATAAATATAAAATCTTAAATGAACGTAGATTAGACCGATCGCATAGACATTATTTGAAGATGACCAAAAAAATGTAGGGTGTTTCAATAACAGTTTAAATAATGCTAAATTATAAGGACAGTAAATGATATGATAATAAATAAAAGCGACCAATCTAATTGCAGATAATAAACTGATTTATTAACTGATTGCATGATAGAATTCATTTGTTCAAAATGGTGCAGCAACCTAGCCCTTTCGCTGTCCCGTCCACTACATATAGATCATTGATAATATTAGTATGTATTATATATATAGATAGTCTAACTATTATGTCTGAAAACTGGACAGTGAAAGTGTGAAGTTTACAACTACCACCAAATAAACACGAGAAATATAAAATAAAATAAAACACGAAATATGTTCAGATTTGCAGATGAATTTTAATACTTTTAACAATTTAGTACATAATACATACAAATTATAATATAGCTATTTTTTTTACTACAATTCGAGGTACGAGGCGCGGCGGCACCTGGTTCACTACGAGCTAATTATTCGGTATTTCTTTGTCTGTTTCTGAAACAGTTATGTATACGAAACACGTGCTACTTAATTGGATGATTGAATAATCTATTCGTCATTTTTTATAGAATATGGATGATAAACGAGCACAAAGGCCACCTGATGGTAAGTGATGCTGTGGCTCATAGACATCTATATTTATTCTCAATTAAGGATCAAAATGCAGATGCATTGTCATCCCTGATGACTAAGATGAAATATCTCGTTTCCAGTAAAAAGGGTCTCCGGTTGTCTACACTCACCATACAGTAACATTAAGCTGCTATTTTACGCTGGTATTCTGTGAGAGCGTTCACGGTCGAGTAGACCCATTCGTGCTACAACCATTATATAGTTTCAGAGAACAAAAAAATAACAATATACACAAATACATTGGGTTGCAGCTACTAAAAGGCATCCGACTCAGAAAGATTCTGTAGCAAATTCAAACCTGCAATTTCCCTGATGTTGCAGTTATTCATGGGTCATTTACCATCAAGTGAGCCATATGCTCGTTTGCTTCCTCTCTATAAAAAAAAAACCAGTGTAGTCACGGCCATGCTGTAGTTGCCATATTATTATCGAGTCGGACATATTTCTGTTACCATAAAAACTAATTTGAAGGAGTAAAATCTAATAACATCAACAAGAAGTACAAGTTAAAAGCACCTAAACAAAGGTAAAATATTAAAGCAAATCATATCAGTAAATTGTATTGACTTATGCATAATATAATTGATACATTAAAATTTGTTAAAATAAAGTTATTAAGAAATCCGCCAGATAATCAAATTTACTGGCAGAGCCTTCCCAATTCCTGGAGATGGTATAATGAAACAGCAGTGGACTGCTGGTCACGTCGCAGAAGCGATAACTTTTGAAGTAGAAATCTCATGGAATGGAGATCGTGACGATACAAATGTAATGTGTAACACCTCCTATCTGAATGGAGCGACGACCTCCTCAAGGTAAAGGTGTTAGCAACTGTATGCGTGTGAAGCCGAAGACCAGGCTAAACAAATAAATAAATGGTTTGGCTTGATAGAGGCCTTTGTAATAATGTAATTATGGGGAGGTTGCTTCTTTGCAGAATCGATTTGTTTTTCAATTCATTAAAATTATCAACATGGTGGTGAAAAAAGATCTTTCAAAGCTACGTTGAAACAAATATATTTAAAAAATCCTAGTAAAATAGATTTTAATTGTACCTACTTATAATTATGTATTTTATTTCCAGCTCTCCGAGGAAACAACCATCAGCAAAGAGGAACCACCGGACGAATGGGAGTTTCCGCGGCATCGACTTAAAATTTTTAACATCTTAGGAGAAGGTGCTTTCGGACAAGTATGGCGCGCTCAAGCAATCGATATTGACGGTGAGTTAAATTTTCACGTGGATGACCAAGCGAACGACGAAAGACAAACGTTACCTGTTTTCAGTGTAGTCTTAATCTTAGGTGCTGTATTGTGATCGTAACTTAATATTGTCAGGCGGAATACGGCAATTCATATCGTCTGATTGTGGAAATATATTTGACAGATGATAGAATAACATCCGAAATAAAATGAAACCATAAGTATGCATATTAGCAACCTATGAGGTTCTTAGCACCTGTGAATGTATTTTTATCCTAATTAATAGAATCAAGCGTTACTTTGCGGAAGTCCATTATAATAACGTTGACAAAAAATTACTTTGCGTACATCTCCCTTAAATAAAATGATGTGTCTTACCTAGTGTGAAGAGCACGTCCCGCCCTAGGTGCTCCTCACACTAGGTAAGACACATCATTTTATTTTATCGAGCGGATGTACGCAAAGTAATTTTTTGTCAACTTTAGTATTTTTATCCGCCTATTTACCATCACGTACCATTTGCAGACCATTTAGTAACTATGGTAGAATTTCATATTGCATACACTGTGCATATTGACATCAACAATAGTGTCTCACAACGACCTATTCGTTGGGGCATACGTCTAATGAATATGGGAATGACAAAAGTCATGTGTAGTTACTGATCTGGGAAGCGTTCGGGAGATTACGACACATTTTCTCATCACGTATACTTCAAAATTTAAAATTTATAATAAAGTAAAAATAATAATAATATACTGCTAATCTAGTGTATAAAAAAGTAACATGTGTGTATTCGTGTGTATTTGTTTGTTACCGTTGAACAGTGTATGCTGTTAGTGATTTCATTAGTATGCATGTACATATGCTTATGAATTTGTGTATGAGCCTTGTCAAATGTGCGTATTGCCTGAGGGAACAGGTGCAATCATAAATTGAGTGTATACCAACTGATACTAATTATTACGACCGTAGTATGCTATGCCTTAATAATTAAAGGAAACATGTTATTGGCCTTATTATAAGAATAATATTGTATAATGTAAACTATTTAGAACGCTGTTGGTTTCGAAATAAATTTAAAAAAAAACATGGGAATGACAAAAGTCATGTGTATTTACTGATCTGGGCAGCTTTCGGGAGATTACGACACATTTTATCATCACGTATACCTGAAAACTTAAAAACAAGAGTAGAAGCCAGTGCGTGTTGCCAGTGATAACATATGGATCTACTACGTGATCTTTCACTGCAGGCTGTATGAGAAAGCGCAAGGTCGATCAGCAAGCTATGGTAAGAGCTATACTGAAAGTTTCTATGCGTTCTAGAACTTTGATATGACGATATCCGCTGTAAAGCCTGAAAAACCGACATAGCACAAGGGATCAGTAAGCAGAATTGGTAAAAGTTCGACCATACCGCTCGAAGAACCAGTGGTCTCATTCATCGAGCGAAAGACAAATTCTCGAGTGGCAACCTCGTACTGGTATGCAAAATAGTCACTAATGACCCGGTAAAAGATGCAGGCAGTCTTGCGTGTACGTTCGTGTGTGTGCGCGTGTGTGTGTGAAAATAAGTACGTGCGTGAGAGCGTGCGTGCGTGTGTGCGTGCGTAAAACTAAATTTCTGTTAAAATCCACTTATAATATTAAAATCTATATCTATACAAATAAATAAAATTGAAGTGTCTGTTTGTAATGTCAAAATCACAGCATTTTACTAAATGCATACGGTACTTATAACAAAAATACCTACAATTTTTAAAATGTTTGTATGTCTGTCTATTTGTTTCGGCTAATCTTTGAAGCGGCTAGACCGATTTTGACGGGACTTTCATTGGCAGATAGCTGATGTCATAAGTAGTAATTTAGGCTAATTTTATTTTAGAAAAAGAATTAGGGTTTCCCGTAAAAAAATTAAAACCTTAAATTACAAGCGATTGAAGTCGCGGGGACCAGCTACTTGAGAAATATAATTTACTAAATGGGTTTAGTAAGGGCACATCTTGGCGAAATTTAAATAATGAATAAATAAAGGTAATGAACAACTGCCATTAATTTTTAAAAGCTTTTTAAACATTTACATTATTTTAATAGACGAAAATATTCAAATACCCTTATTACCCTACCTTATACCCTACTTAAAAGAATCAGTCGTCACTCTAAAGGTGATCATTATTTTAAAATGTAAAGTTACAGTCCCTATGTGTCACACTACTAGGCACAGGATCTCATCTCATCCATAAGGAAGTTTTAGGACAACGAAATCACCGCCGATACACCCCAATGCACGCTAACGGACGGTGCATATCGATCAATTTTTTTTTAATTTCTGAATCACCGCCGAGTACGTGGTAGATCAGCACATAAAATTGCAATTAACAATTACATTCGTGCTGGTGGGAAACGAACCCGGATTGCTAGCGTACGTAAAATTTACAGTGAGCGTTTAGCCCCTGAGCTACCACGGCTGTTTAAGTAGTTTTTTTTTATAGGATAGGGTGACGAACGAGCACACAGTCCACCTGATGGTAAGTGGTTACTGTGACCCATAGACATCTACATCTATCCTCAATAAAGACTCAAGATGCAGATGCATTGTCACCCGTGAGGTCTAAGATGGAATGCCTCTTTGCCAGTAAAAAGGGTCTCCGGTTCTCTACACTCACCATACGAAACAAATCAGCGTTAAGCTGCTATTTTACGCTAGTTTTCTGTGACAGCGTGGTCCTTCCTCGGTCGAGCCGACCCATTCGTGCTACTACTATACTACTAATATAGCTGCAGCATGGCTCTACCACGTAAAAGCCTAGTTTCAACCGCGTGCCTCGGAAAGTACGTAAAGTCGTTGATCCTGCTCCTGGTCTCTCTCTGGTCGTGTCGTCTTGCCGTCCCATCGGACTATGAGAGTAAGAGAATATAGAGTGCTCCTGCAATTCGCGAATACACGCGGTCACTATAATTCTATCCTGTGCAGATGGCATATCTCCGTTAAGACTGGCCGCCACAACCGAAATTCGGCCTGGAGGACATTATTATTATATTATCATTTTAAATAATTTAATCGATGTCGGCAGTCAAACTCGGTTTAAGATGTCTTCTCTAAGACGATGAAATATGATGTTTCTATTTTTTTTAGGTAAAAAAGGTGAACAGACTGTGGCTGTGAAGACGCTGAAAGAAAACGCCTCTGAAAAAGAGAAAAGTGATTTACTGCAAGAGTTGATTGTGATGAAGAATTTAGGAACGCATCCTAATGTCGTAAGACTCATCGGCTGTTGTACAGAGAAGGTAATCTTCATTCTCCTTCAGTCAGTTTAAGCTCGCAGCTAGACATAAGCCTACTTGAACGATTTACCAATATCTAGGTTGGCAGATAGCTTAACTAAATAAGATAACCTAGGTCTGGTAATACGCATTACGCATTCACTGGTATGTGGGATTTGGGTAATCATTGGCACTTTAGCATAGTGAATGGCACTGTAAATTAAGTATAATCATTGGCACTACTAGAAGTCTTATAATGTTATACCCAGATTTTTCTAAACACCATCTTATTGTATTTTCCTTAGGTCTTCACCTGAAAGCGGTTTCATTGGTTGACCATGTTTCTTTCTTTCTTCGGATACATTTTTGATGTGCCTTTTTAATAAAACCTTTCGTGTTTTCTCGATATTTTGTAGAAATAAATCTTTACTTCGGTTTCTCCTGTTCCATTATGTGTTGGTTTTTTTTTTTATAGAAGAGGGGGCAAACGAGCATGCGGCTCACCTGATGGTAAGTGACTACCGCCGCCCATGAACAACTGCAACACCAGGGGAATTGCAGATGCGTTGCCGGCCTTTTAGAAAGGTGTAAGCTCTTTTCTTGAAGGTTCCTATGTCGTATCGGTCCGGAAAATTCGCTAATGGTAATTGATTCCACAAAAAAGTTGTGCGAGGGAGAAAACTTCTTCTAAATCGCATAGTGGTGGACCGCCAATCATCCAGATGGTATGGATGGTAACGCGAGTTATGTCGCGATGTGCGATGGTGAAATTGAGCGGCTGGAATCAGTCCGAACAATTCCTCAGAGCACTCCCCGTGATAGATGCGATAAAATACGCAAAGAGATGCCACATCTCTACGCAGTGCCAGTGTATCGAGCCGATCAGAAAGAACTCGGTCGTCGACGATTCGAACCGCTCTGCGCTGGATGCGGTCAAGTGGAAGGAGTTGGCACTGGGGTGCCCCGGCCCAGAGATGAGAACAGTATTCCATGTGGGGCCGAACTTGCGCTTTGTAAAGTTGCAAGCGATGTGCCGGCATGAAATACTGTCTCGCTCTGCTGAGCACGCCAAGCTTTTTAGAGGCCAATTTGGCCTTCCCTTCCAAGTGACCACGAAACTGCACACTATTCGATATGTCGACGCCAAGGATTCCGATACTAGCTGAGGCAGCAAGGGGAGTGCCTTGAAACTGAGGAGATACGACAAAGGGGTCCTTTTTAGTGGTAAACGCGCAAACTTGTGTCTTCTGGGGATTGAACTGGACTAGATTTAGTCGGCCCCAATCCGAGACTTTGTTAAGCAAAGACTCGACTTCAGACACAAGTTTGTCCCGGTACTGAGCGACGTTTTCCCGAGAAATATTGGCACGGCCGGTATATAAGGCATCACCAGTGCTGTCGTCCGCATAGCAATGAATGCTACCAGTTAGCAACATATCATTGATATGCAGGAGAAACAGCGTTGGTGATAGCACGCAGCCTTGTGGAACACCAGCGTTGATAGGCTTGAAATCAGAGTATGCACCGTCTACTACGACCTTGATACTCCGATCAGCAAGGAAACTGGTGATCCATATGCACAATTTCTCGGGAAGCCCACAGGAAGGAAGCTTCGAAAGAAGCGCTTTGTGCCAGACCCGATCGAAGGCCTTCGCTATGTCCAAACTAACGGCCAATGCCTCCCCCTTGGACTCTACTGCTTTCGCCCATCTATGAGTCAAATAGACTAGAAGATCACCAGCTGATCGAACTCGACGAAAACCGTACTGGCGGTCACTAATCAGCTGGTGATCCTCAAGGTACCTCATGAGCTGGCAGTTTATAATGGATTCCATTATTTTGGAGAACAAGGAGGTGATGGCAATAGGCCTGTAGTTGGACGGGTCTGAGCGGTCGCCTTTTTTAGGGATCGGGTGGACCAAAGCTGTCTTCCATGAATTCGGGACTACGCCTTGGGAGTAAGAGTACCGGAAAAGACGCGTTAAAACCGGTGCCAAATCCGGAGCACACGTCTTCAGCACAATGGAAGGGACTACATCGGGCCCACTCGACTTGCTGACGTCCAGGGAGAAGAGTGCTTTGCGAACCGAGCGCTGTGTAAATCGCTCATCCGGCATGGAGCACTCACATCGCGGGATGGTCGGCGGTGTATTTCCCCCGTCATCTAGAGTCGAGTTGGACGCAAAAAGAGAGCTCAACAGATTGGCTTTCTCCTTTGCGGCATGGGCCAGTGAGTCGTCCTCCCTGTGCAGAGATGGAAGAGATGGCTGACAGAAGTTCCCTTGGACAGCCTTGGCGAGAGACCAGAATGCACGGGTTCCCGAAGGAAGGCGAACTAGCTTCTCGCCAATTCTGCCGATGTGCTCAGACCTTGCCTTGGCAATGACGCTTTTGAAGGACCTGGAGGCGGAATTATACTTATTTTTAAGTGCGCTGGTGTTTACATCCCGAGACGTTGATGCGTCAGCCCAGGCCCGGTAGCACTCCTGCTTATAGCGTGATGCTATTTTACAGGAGCGACCAAACCATGGCTGGGATCTGCCTCCGTTGGGCACCACAGAGGATGGAATAAAAATTTCCATACCCTGAAGCACCACATCAGCAACAGAATCGGCAACAACGCTGGGATCTTCCGGCGAGAAGCAAACCCGGCCCCAAGGGTAGGATGCAAAAAAAGACCGCATCCCGTCCCAATCAGCTGACCTATAGTGCCAAACACGGCGGCAAGCTGCAGATCGCGACTGCGATTGTAGCGTGAGTGGCACCGTACTCCGGATCAGACAATGGTCCGAAGAGCCCAGAGGGGCATCGACGGAGACCTGATATCCGTCCGGATGAGAGGTCAGCAGAAGGTCCAACAGGGAAGGTACATGGTCTTCCACATCTGGGATCCGCGTAGGCGAAGTAACCAGTTGTGTTAGACCATATGCCAAAGCAAAGTCATAGACAGATCTACCCGCATGATCGGTTAAACGAGAACCAAGCCATTCAGCGTGGTGGGCGTTAAAATCACCGAGTATCACGATCTCTGCGGGTGGGACCTGTTGTAGCACGGAGTCTGCAGCCATTTGGACGTGGTCGATGAGTCGGTCTGTGTCAGCATTACCGCTATGGGACCTATAGAGGCACCCGTAGACGCGGGGATGGTCGTCGCTGTCTACGCGCAGCCATAGGATGGACAGGTCCGTACCTTCAAGACTGCCGAGGCGTCGAAAACAGATGTCCTCTCTGACGTATACGCAAACTCCAGCCCGGGGCACAAAGGAGTGTTCCAATTTGTACCCCGAGTAGGAGAGATATGAAGTATCAGCCGGAGAGGACACCTGAGTCTCGGTTAAAAAGAGCAAGGCCGGCTTCGCCGTCTCTAGATGGTAATGGACAGCGTTAAGGTTGGAATGAAGTCCCCTGATGTTGCAAAAATTCACGGATAGCGTGACAGGGGTCGCCTTGGTTGCATTGCTCCGCTTGCCCCGAGCAGCATTAGTCGCGAGCGGAATTTTGCCCCCTCCCCAGAATACGCGGGGCAGCCTGAGCACCCACGCTCAGGAGTGAAGTAGTTTGGTCTTAGATGCTCAGCGAGGGATTCTCCAGGGGTGCTGGTACCCTCCTGGGGTAGTCTCTTATTTAATTCCACTACCGTGGTACCACCGCGGTTCGAGCTGGCCCATCCGTGCGACAGCAAAAGCTACCGCTTAGCTCTACCACTGAATAAATAATGAATAAGTAATCTAATTTATTTATAAATTCTTCGGTTTTAGTAAAATATTATCTGGATATATTGTAGATAAAAGCTGCAGTCTGTTAATCTTGTATTGTAGTTGGATGGTTACCTACAGTCACTTTAAACTTTTCTGCTTCAGTAATTCTTTCAACTTTTTCTGAATTTGTGGTGTTGCCTGGTTAGATTAATTATTTAGAGAGTATTACAATGTCAGAGTTTTTGGTTTTGTTCTTCGTGTTTTGTTTGTCAGTTTTTTCATTGTTTTTCTAGGTCCGCAGCTTCCGAATCTTCACTTGTTAGTAAAGAATAACGGAGTTGTTTACCTGCTTTTTGCTTTTTCATAGGTATTTGGCAATGGCAAAAACTCAAATGGCAAAGATTTTTGTTTACTTCGACATCCACGATCACCCATTCACTTCCAACGAATTCTAAATTTGCTGCCTAGTTGAAGAAAAATATAAGCGTTAGTTTTCTTTCTGATACTCAACAATAATCTCAGCAGCTTGTATAAACTCTGGTACTGATAAATCATTATTAAGTAAAAGGTTTAAATGCAAATTTGATACAGGTATTTCAGATTCCGTCGTTCTTTTTAAAATATTCCTATGTACTTTCTTATATTCATATGCATGGAACGGAGATCATCTAAAATTGTGATTTCGATAGCATTAGACACTTTGTGTATTCCACTTTGTCTGGACTAAATGGAAACAACCCACATGTCTCGAAACCATTTCATAAGTTGATTTATTTTAATTCGGTAAAAGTGTTACCAACGTGGGTCCGCATGTGTCTCACCTTTTTGTCAAATTGTTTGTCCATCATTCGAAGACAGATTTACGCCACATAGCTTTAATGGGCCGAAATGCAGTAATATTAGCTGGTTGCAATAGTCGCGTTGCATTCAGGTTAAGGGCTAAAAGCTAAGAAACTGTTAAAAGTATCAAAGATTTAATGCTTCGTCTTGTTTGCACTTTATAAAATTAAATTCTAATTTAAGTTTTTTACAAAATTTTTTAGACGCGACCAAGACTACGTTAACTGGTTAACGATTGTGCAGGCTAATATTTAGAGTATTAATAATAAATATTTAGAGCTGGAATTATTAACCGAAAATACAACTTGTGATGTGCTTTGTCTAACAGAGACTTGGACGAATGATTTAAAAATAGGTGTAATGAATATCGAAGGCTATATACTTGTATCATATTACAATAGGATGTTGCTAGGATATATAAGTAATTATATATCTCAGCAACATCTATGTTGCTGTGATATCGAGTTTAGAAAACGTTCTTAATATTCAGATTAAAATAGCAAAGAGCCCATCATTGGGGGAGTGTCAAAATTAGTACTGTTTACCCTAAATGTTATTATTTTTACAATTATTACAACAAAATAACAATTATGTGGGTAGAAATTAAAGTATCAAACAGTATTATATTAACGAGCCTTTTTACGCCTTAAAACTTTAAAAAATAAGTTTTTTCCCAACACTATTCACTATTTTAAATATTTACTTTACACACCCAATACCAGGAGCCAACGCTGGTAATAATGGAGTACGTGAGCCTGGGAAAACTGCAGCAGTTCCTGCGGGAGTCACGCGCGGGCCGCCACTACGGGAACACGCACGCCGGCAGCCAGTTCCTCACGTCGCGCGACCTCACGCACTTCGCCTTCCAGGTGGCGCGAGGCATGGACTTCCTCAGCTGCAAAGGGGTAACCGTCTTTTTTTATAATATTGGGGTGATCACTATTCACCCGATCATAATAGGTTACTTGTCACTCCCTAGAACTAAAATAAAATGTGTAACAGGTTATAGTTATAGTGGATTTCATACAACCATTTTCATTTATTTGTTTCTCACCACATCACTTTAACATAGACGACCTATGAAATGGATTTCATCGAAATCTCACCACTCCGTACTGGTGGAACCGTTTCGCGTAGCAGCAGCGTATTGCAGCTGTGTTTCGTTATAACCAGTGACGAGAAACGGAGACCTTTTTAAGAGTTACGCTGTCACGTCTGAGCACTAAAATGTGACCCGTCCCTTACAGAAAAAGAGTAACTGGTTCTCAACACTGACCACACCAAATACATTATGCTACTATTTGTTGGTATTTTGTGAAAGTGTGGTTTTTCCTCAGATCAGCCTTCTTTTTCTTGCTGCAGTTAAAATACACTTCAACATGGCGTGAGATCTAGATCTATAAATCCTTCACTTACTACGCAAGACTTGTAGGCAGTCAGATAGTTAGGCACATTTTGCTGATTGTACACTTCCTTCTTCCTTCTATCCGTCAGAAGTGTTTTTATCCACAAACACCATTTGAAGTCTATAAAACGATTCTTTCAGTTTTAGACAACATTTGTATTCGTAAAAATCGTCAAGCGATAATTCTCCCAACGAAGATTCATTTTTAAATGAAAGAGGAACACGATACTTTAATTTGTTTTTTAAAAGTAGATTATGCAAACGAAAATTTGATATTGGCACATTCTATTTATACTTGAAAATAATTTTATCTTTAAAATAAACAGTAAAACCAATATCTTACTTCTATAAATAAGACAAAAACTTATTTTCGTAAAATTTTTGCATAGTCTGTCAACATGAACCCCATTTGTCGGACAGTTAGGCCTCTTCCATTTTAATATTTTAGCAGAGAAAAATGCTGCAGCCATTCCTTGTTTGTGGACTTTACGTTATGTGTTTGAAATATTTTTCAATTTCTTAATCATTTAGGTTTATCGTGCAATTAGGTTTTTTTTCTTCGGAGCACTTGATAAATGATTTGATATATACACTCAGCTTTTTTATTGCGGCTTATATTGTCTTCATCGTACGATACATGCGTGGGATATACTATCATCCCTATTTTGTCTCGAAAACGTACAAGGCTAATTAAGCAGCACGCTACACTAAAACAACAAGGTCGTCTTGAGATACGGATGAGGGAATTGTAGGCAATGAACTAGTAGATAATGTCACGCACGAGTTGGTCAAAAAGAACGTTGGTCCAGAGCTATTTATGGAATATCAAAAAGCCTGACCTGATTGACTCTTGCACTTTTGACTATATCTATACAAATAAATAAAATTGAAGTGTCTGTTTGTAATGTAGAAATAACAGATATTTACTATATGCATATGAAAGTATATACGGCAGTTATAGCAAATACACGATTTTAAAAATTTTTCTCTGTCTGTCAGAAAGCTGTCTGTTCCGGCTAATCTCCAAAACGACTGGACCGATATTGACCGGACTTTCACTGGCAGATAGCTGATGTTACAAGAAGCAACTTAGGCTACTTTCATTTTAGAAAAAGAATTAGGGTTCCGCGCAAAATTAAAACCCATGAAATCCAATCTTAACAAATTACGCGCGGGTAAAATCGCGGGGAAGAGCTAGTACTTTATAAAAATCTCTTAGGATTTGACATACAAAATCAGACTTATAACATTACAAATCTAGAAAGGAAAGTTTGCTTTCGAAATAGTAGGGTTGATAGCATTATTTGTAAACTTAAAGTAACTAAAGTAATTAAAGTAACAAATGCGTTATAAGTGGCTATTGCAACCAACTTTTAATAAAAAAGGCTACAGATTCATTTTCACCTCTGAGAACTAAGATGGAATGTCTCACAGTCTGTAATTTTAGTGGCACTCTATACCTTTAACACGTGGAATGAGAGTAAAAGATGAAACAGTTGGTCAGGACTTACCAAATGTGTAATACGTAACAAAGTTAATATTTCTAACATGTGTAGTGACATGTTACACTTTACGTAATATAAATATGATGCTACTGCATCTAGTCCTACATTCAGCAGTGGACTTTTTAGGACCTGATGATAGTAATATGATGAATTTTATTTCATTTTTATAGATTATTCACCGTGATCTAGCCGCTAGAAACGTTTTGATCACTGAAGAGAGGACTTGCAAAGTCGCAGACTTCGGTTTGGCGAGAGATGTTGCCGGCACCCACGTGTATGAGAGGAAAAGTGACGGCAGGCTTCCAATAAGGTACGTATTTTACCCTTTTAATCTTGTGAAACACTTTAATCACATTCATTCCAATGTATAGATTCACATTAACACTACTTAATGTGAAACTAATCATCTGCCAATGTAGACATTGGAAGTTGAACTACACTGTGCCCGTACGCATACATTAATTGTCGTAGAATATTTTGAAACAATGGGTAAAATTGAAATAGAAGGTTATTCTGCAAAATACGGCCAAATTTGCAGAGAAGGTTCAGAATAAGCAATATAGGTGAATTTTGTCCTCTTTATCTTTTAAATTCAGAATTCGTGGTAATGCATTATTTTAAGCGATTGTTATTCATAAAAGTCTAACGCCTAATATTTTACTACGCACGCATTCATTCGTAAGGGCCGATCGGTAGGCAAAAACTTTGTGAATTGAACCGCACACAAATGAGCGCGAGGAGGTGTTGCGCATAAATCACATTCAATTATTAATAATTTCACAAAAAATGTGTAGAAGCCCAATTTACTCGTATTTTCAAAAACAGCAATAACGGAATATCGTTATTAATATAATATTTGAACTCAAGTTTAAAATTTGGCTACTCTTTGAAAAAAATAAAGGATAATTAAGTCTAAGTAGCAATATCTATAATATATGATGTTATACACATGTATATATATATATATATATCGATAGATGACATTCACATCTACCATATATAAGATGGTATACCGTCTTGTATATGGTAGATGTAAATTACTCGTACCGTACTACCAGCAATATGGGGAAGTACCTTCAATGTTACAAGACATATAGTATTGCGATTCCCCATCCACCTGCCGAACGTAGCCATTTTGGCGAATCTTTACAGTGTGGGAGATTAATGTCCAGGCGGGCTAAGAAAAATAAAGAATGCGAAGAAGATAAGAAACTAAAAATGCGTACTTTGTTCACAGATGGATGGCTCCGGAGTCTCTATATGATGACATATTCAGTGTGAAATCAGACATCTGGAGCTTTGGCGTGCTGCTGTGGGAAATTGTGACGCTCGGCTCCACTCCCTACCCGGGGCTTTCAGCTGGAGACGTAATGAGAAAGGTATGATAAAAAAATATAAGTTGTCCTTCAGGTAATTTAAGATAAATGCGAATGTATCCTACCTATACTATGAGTGGACGTCATAGTATATGTTCATAAAAATTAAGAAGTCGCTGCCGTGGTTAATATTTATTTATATCTTGCAGCTAAGGATGTACGTAGTCTTTTCTTTGAAAGACATGAATTTAACCAAAACCGACAAGTATTATATTTTAGCTTTTTACGTGTGCAGACGTGTGCGTGTATGCAAAGCAAAAAAAATTGGGAAAACAATACCACACATTACTAAACAATCTATCGATTCCAGGTTCGTGACGGCCATCGTCTTGAAAAACCGGAGCACTGTCGCCGTGAACTATACAACATTATGTACTACTGCTGGGAAGCGGAGCCTTCTTCTCGACCTGACTTCAAAGAAGTTGTCGCGATGTTGGAACGACTCTTGTGTACAGAGATGGACTATATTGAGCTAGAGAGATTCCCCGACCATTCGTACTACAACGTGCAAAACTTGGAGGGGGAGAAAGTGTAAAACGTCGGTGCAATCCGTGGTGTAATTTAGTTATAAGTCTAATAATGTAATAAATTACGTACGTTAATTAATAGCTTGGTGACACGAAAAATATTAAATAAAAATGCACGAAATTGTACAATTAAGCTCAGATATGGGTTACATAAAACACGGGAAGTATTGTATAAGAATTGTTTTATTTAAAACCGTCTTGTAATACGATGAGTGGGTATGAAAACGTTACATCACTCTCCGCAAATGTTGGGCGATAATTACTACAGCGGGGAGAATTTTAGAACCAACAACATGCGTCCATCCTTGAAAATGTCTCGGCGAACACTGACCGGAGCGAGGGCGGGCGCGGGCGCTTGAACAGTTCTCATTCCTTTACTTTTTCACAATAAAAATAACAACGACTTAATGAAATGTGTTCTCCTAAAAATTAATAAGACTTTATTTAATTTTAATTTATAAACGGTTAAATTATGAAATCTCTGCTAGGTGTTTAACTAGCGATTTAATGTCATGGTTAAGTTGTTTATTATGAATTAATTTATTACGATTCGTAAAAGCTTTTAGAAAAATTTACTTCGCAAATATCCGCCTTATAAAATAAAATGATGTGTCTTCCCTAGTATGAAGAGTACCTCCCGCCCTCCCTCAGGTGATATAGACTCTACGGTGGCTAACCGCTAAGTGAGCGGCGAGCCAAAACAACTGCCTTTTACCGACACATCATTTTATTTTATAACGCGGATATTTGCAAAGTAAATTTTTTCTAAAAGCTTTATATAATGGATTTCCGCAAAGTAACGCCTGATTCTATTAATTATATTACGATTCGGTCTTCACACAACACATCCGTATGTTATATTTTTGTAAAATTATTTCGTTTTGATGATTTAAATAGATTTAGATTAAATTCACAGATTACAAAGGTTCTAAAAAGTTAAAAATAATAATGTAAAAAGAAAAAAATAAGAAAACAATAATTGTAATATGAGAATTCAAAATGAGTTTAATTAGAATAAAATAGCTACTAAAAATAAATTCAAATAAGACCACGAAAATATTTTATTTATCGGGACGAAAATGTTCACAGCTTAAGAGGATTGTGAAGTGCCGATACGCGGTGCGAGAAGGTATTTTCAAATGTGTTTCATATCGCTCGCTCTGTTTCGCCGTATCGTGCGATAAAGAGAGTTGCAAGTCTTGGAAATAATTGTCTCCATTTCCTTTTTGAAATATTTGTTATTTTGCGCGATAACGTTTTCACTCTCTTCAACCTTTACGAAATGAGATAATTTTGGATTCAGTGCACCATAATCTTAATCAGGTCTGTACGTTTTTCTTTTTTAGTAATTCAGTTTAGTTTAATTTAAAAAAAAAAACCTTATAGTTTTTTGTATGAAAACTTACAGTTTCATAATCCTCATAAAGTCCGTATTAGGGTAAAAACTATAAATACCAAATTTTCGAAAGTGTCGTTAAAACGGTAGGTATTCAAGATTCTGAAAGGACTTTCGACAATAATAAGCAAATATAAATAATGTTGTTTTATTAGATGCAATATTATATAGTACGAATCGAACACCAGCATAAAATATGGAAAAGCTTTAACCTCATTATGCTTTTAGATTTCTTAGTTAGTAAATCCTACACATATCTCACATTTATTTTAACTAATTGATTTTCAAAACAAAATATGCTAATAAAAATTAATAATGACCAAATATGTGGTATTTGATAATGAGATTAAATCTGTAAAAATTATGTTAAAATTATCGTCATATTTAATATAGATTTGTAGTGACTAGTCGTTAGACTTAGGATTATATGTACTTACTTATAATATGTATGAATTTCTGTACAGCTATAATATAAAATGTAATATTGATAGGTAAAATGTTCAATTTTAATAAAATGTTTTGTTTCACTATGTTTTTATTTGTTATTCTTTTGTTTTGTTAGCTATTACCTGCCGCGTGACTGCCGCAGAAGAAAGCAGAAGAAATAATTGTGAAAACGTGCTTTTAGGTTTAGACGAGTTATATGGCTTGGTTAGGAATAATAAATACATTCTTTGAATGATATATAGCTTTCAAATAAATTCGTCGGTACAATATGCGCGCCACCGAGTGTAAGTTAATTATATAATGCCTATAACCTTCGCGCAAGTGCAAGCAATAAGTTGACAAAGTTTTACCTCAATCTGATGAACGGTATGACAGCGCATAAAATACGAACAAACAAACATTAATTTTATTACAAACATTAGCAGGGGTATTCAGTATATAAGTAAAATGACACCGAAAATGGCATCGAAAGAAGCGTTCTTACTGTTTTGTAATGTAAAAGTATTGATAAAAAATAATTCTACTTGTGAAATACTTTTATAAATTCAGCCGCTTCTCAAATATTTGAGATAGGCTTGGATTGACTTTTTTAATTTTGTTGTTTCGTTTCACAAATTGAGAAACAGTAAAATCTTTTAAAAGCTGTTCCTAGTGTAATGTAATGGGATATTTAGCCTTTGCACATCCCATTGTTATGCACAGAACTCCTCTCATTCCCAAAAGCCAATCTCAAAATTTTGCTGCCAGTGCGTTTTGGCGGACTTCACATGTCCTCGAAATATTTTATTTCTTAGAAATGCAGGTTTCCTAACGATGTACTCCTTCATCACCAATCACGTGGTAAGTCAGCGCTTAAAACTATTAATCACCATTATATTAATGCCCACCGATTAAACACGGGTCGCTCGCATTCTATGATATTTACAGCGAGCGCTTAGCCTCTAGAGCTACCACGGTTCTTTATTTTTTCGTTGAAAAAGATTAGTAATTTTTGGCCAAGTGTGCAAACGCCGTGTGGTAGGAGCTTTATCAGGTGGTTGCAGCGTGAAAAAATCCATTACCCCGTGTGGAAAGTGCCATAAAAATATTATGATCTCACCATGTATCATGTGGTGGTTCATACGTGGTAGTGCCAGGCTGTACGTGTAAGAGCCATTTTGTACGTTGTAGAGCCATGCTGCAGTTATATTAGTAGTATAGTTATAGCACGAATGGGTCGGCTCGACCGGGGAAGGACCACGCTCTCACGGAATACCAGCATAAAATGGCAGCTTGACACTACTGTGTTTCGTATGGTGAATGTAGAGATCCAGAGACTCTTTTTACTGGAAAAGAGGCATTCCATATTAGTCCTCACGGGTAACGACGCATCTGCATTTTGATTCTTTATTGAGGATAAATGTAGATGTCTATGGGTCACAGCAACCACTTACCATCAGGTGGACTGTGTGCTCGTTTGTTACCCTTATTCTAAAAAAAACAGCCTCATATTAACGTTACTCAAAAAATACCCAGACCCGCGACGGTCAGCAGCGTCTAATAACTGCAATAGTCAATGTCTAGCACTGCGCTAGTTAATCCAATTGTCAAGCAAACCTTACTAATAAGACACAGCCTGTAGGCATATAGTCTGTGTAGATAATGTACTAATGAGGAGGAAGAGGAGAGACAGTATTATGCGTGCGAGGGCAACGAAAGTATGCAATTACCTACCTACCAACCTAGCGAAACCTTTCCAAGAAGTAACGTCGGCTGGCTCATGCTTGAAAAGGCACGTGCCCGGCATTGGATTCAAAATTCAAATGGTTTGAAGTAGTCGGTGCAGTAGAAAAAACAAAGGGTTCGAATCCCAGCTCCTTACGAATGAAATATTATATTATATATTTCTCAAGGTAGGACATGACCTACATCTTTTTTGTTCACCGGCCCGTAATATCCCACTTCAGGACGTGGGATTCTTCCGTTATAGGGATGATTTGCTATATTTTTTTTGATTTGACGCTAGATAAGCCATCGCTGTACCAGACGTACTATTATTCAATTAATGATATAAACATTGCATTCGTAAATAAATATTACAACAATTATTTACGAATACAATGTTTGTAACAATGGCAAACAATCGTTAGGGACTTTCCTTTAGAAATATTGTATACATTAAAGTATGAAAATTTCCAAGGAATTTGGAATATAATGTTTTGTGTAAATAAATATAATGATATATATTAAAAGAAGATTATAATTGAAATATTTCACATAAAATATATCTGAATAAAGAGTAGCTGTATTGTTATGTATGTTGTCTACATTCGTATTAAATCTAATTAGATCGGAACATAATGCCGGCTCTACACGAATCGTCCAACCATCCAACGGTCCCTCCAACCACGGTATGTAAAAATAAAAAAATAAAAATACATTAAAATATTTTTATTTTTTTATTTTTACAAATAAATCTTAGATAAGATCGTCTGAAAGATGATGTTGCGATGATGGACTGTAATGTTGATCCCGCTGGAGCTAATATTGATGAAAGGGTGGGTAGTTTTAATTATGTTCTAAAAAAACTACAACATCCATACTCCAGTTAGGCCGACCCAGCAAATGCGATTTGGTTTACTTTGGGTATCGGAAATTTGCTGCGTATGAAATATACTGTACTTTTTTATATAGTATAAGGGTGACAAGGGAGTACACAGTCCACCTGATGATAAGTGGTTGCTGTCGCCCATAGATGCGTTGTCAGCCATGGGGACTAAGTTGGAATGCCTCTTTTCCAGTAAAAAGAGTCTCCCGTTCTCTACACTCACTATATAGCACCATCAAGCTGCTATTTCACGCTGGTATTATGTGCGGGTGTGGTCCTATTACTACTTAAGATGAATAAAAAAATCTGATGCTAAATTGATTAGCAATTTAAAAATAACTTTTTAAAAATAATTTAGCATTAGCATTTTGTTAATGCTAAATTGTTTTAAAAGCACTGTAGCACAATTTTTATGTACTTCAGTTAGATATTTTTTATACGTAGTAGAGCCATGCTGCAGCTATACTTAAATAATAATAATGTCCTCCAGATCGCGAATTTCGGTCACGGCGGCCAGCCTCAACGGAGACTAGCATCTGCTCAGGATAGGATTATAGTGCCGAAGTATATGCGCAAGC